TATAAATTTAACAAGTTAACAATAAAAACTCTACGTAAATATTAATTTTATTGATTTTTTAACCTTTAATTTTTGGCTTTCCGGTCAGTTGTTACATTGTTTCTATTTCAATTATTTTGATTGAATTGATTGTTTTTATTACTTATTATACATTTTAGAATTGGAATAAATATATCTTGAATAGATATTTTAAATTTCAAATTAAAAACATATGAAAACCATATAACTTCTCTAAACCACCCTGATTTATTTGAGTGCACGTTTCATGTCTTTCTATTCAATTTATTAACCAATCAATACAATCTTAAAAATAAAATAATTTCTATTTTTCTTTTTGCAAAACAATAATTTTAGTTGAGAAAGATCTCCTTTTTCTTTTTATGGAAAGAACTGACTACAAACAAGGCTATATCAATCGCAAAGCATCCTTCCTGATAGTGTCGAGTACACGAGCAGGAGGATTAGAGAAGTGCGTAAATCCATGCATCTGCTTCAGCACCTCCTTTGCTAGCACGTGTGCAACCATATTCCCCTCTCTGCAACACCATGTAAGGCTGATATGCCAATCCCAATTCATCATGCGTACTATTTCCTCTAATATCTCATCATCCTCACTAACAGCCAAGCCACTAGCATGGACCATTTCAACTAACTCCAAGCAATCCGTCTTGACAACGATATCCCTGTAGCCCTTATCCCATGCGAGTTTCATCCCCCATAGAACGCCCCAAGCTTCTGCCTGAAAGCTACTTCCGCCTCCAATGTTAAACAAGAAGCCACCAAGGACTTGACCACTGTGGTCTCGCACTACACCGCCACAAGCTGAGCCCATACCCCCTTGCACAGACGTGCCATCAACGTTGATCTTAACAATGCTGATCGAGGGAGGAACCCAACAATCCCGAGGGCCCAAGCTAGTCCTATTGCTCTGAATCTGGTTGCAACCCCACTGCGCATAAGCTCGTACTTTGGCAATAAGAATCTCAGGTTCTTCCACAATATTCTCAAAGTTCCGTAAATTCCTAACAAGCCAAATCTGACGACACATAAGTCCAAAAACCACATTCCAGCGCGTCCCAAGAACTTCAAAGTGTTGACAAACATTCCATGACACCCACTCCTGGGTGGTCTGAAGAGAAAAGAACCCCATGATATGGGTAGTTGGAACCACTCTTGACCAGGCATTCAAAGCTACGGAACAGTCTCTCAAAGCATGAAGTGTAGTTTCATCAGTTTGGGTGCAGTTTGCGCAAGAAGGCGATAGACCCATGTTCCTACGATAGCGCATCGCGTTCGTCAAAATACGGTCCTGAGAGCATAGCCATAGAAAGGATTTGCATCGCTGGGGAATCCGAAGTCTCCAAATATTCTTCCATAGCCATTGTAAGCTGCAATCCCCATGCAGACGAATACTGTCATAAGCCGATCTTGTCGTAAAGTCCCCAGAAGAAGACCACCTCCACGTTGGTTTGTCTTTAGCCGAGATGTCCACAAGGATTCTAGATATAGTAAGCACTACATGACTCGGCAGATGAGCGGAAGGAAAATCTGGCTTCCAATCCCCATTATCGTCTAAAAACTCAGAGACCGTCCATTCTTGTTGATAATTTGGTATTTCTCGTAAGGCAACGTCAGAGAGCTTTTCAATATTTGGGCACCAGTTATCCTTCCAGAACTTAATAGAACGTCTATCCCCTACTAACCATCTCAAGCCGGAGACAACCGAACCCCAACACTTCTTAATTCCCTTCCATGCACTTGACCCTGTATGTGTCCAATCAATTTTTGGTAACAGATCATCTCCACAGCGGTACTTCTCCCTCATAAACTTTACCCACAAGGTGTCTCGTTTCTTGATCAAGGCCCAGACAAGCTTCATCATGGAAGCATTATTCTGAAGTTTAGCCGATCTCAAACCCAAACCACCCTCCTCTTTCTTCATGCACACTTTATCCCAAGAGACCAAATGCACTTTCTTCTCAGTGGACACACCTCCCCAAAGGAATTTACGGTATTTTTTATCAATATCTTCACAAATCGATGTTGGTAAAGAAGCTGACTGCATTGCATAGGAAGGCAACGCCTGCATGACTAAAGAAACCAAAGTTGACCAAGCCGCAAAGGATAGCGACTTCGACTTCCAGTTGCTCAATCTAGAATCCATCTTATCTAAGATAAATTGATACATAGCTTTAGACACCCGTTTGTGATGAATAGGCATGCCGAGATAGTTGTCGAGGTCAGCCGTGAGTGTAAAACCCAAGAAAGCACTGATCTCATTTGCCCAATTGTGATTAACATTCCCAGAGATGAAAATCCGAGATTTGCAACAGTTAACCTTTTCACCCAAAACAGCACAAAAATCATCCAGACATGCTTTAATAAGCCCTGCTTGTTCCAACAAAGCCTCTGCAAATAAAATTAGATTATCTGTAAAAAATAAATGAGAGACCGGTGTGCCATGTTTGCTGAGACGGAAAGGTAACCAATTATTGTTCTCCACCTCTGCTTGTATGAGATGAGCAAGTTTCTCCATAACAAGAACAAAAAGATACAGTGATAGAGGGTCTCCTTGTCTAATACCCCAAGTTGAGCTAAAGGTCTTCCCTTGTTTCCCACTCCAAAATAATTTCATTTCAGCGGAATAAAGGCAGGTTTCTATGATTTTCTAGATGTGAGCAGGAATACCAATCTCAGCTAAGCACTGTGAAACAAAGGACCACCGAACCCTGTCATAAGCTTTCTCCAAGTCTATCTTAATTGCCATAAAGCCCTTATGCCCTTTCTTGAGTCTCATAGAATGAAATATTTCCTGACCCAAAACAATGTTATCCACACCCTGCCTTCCCGGGACAAAACTACATTGGTTAGGAGAGACAAGAGATGGCGTAAATCTCCTAAATCTAGTAGCAATAATTTTAGTCAAGATTTTATATATCACATTGCACAAGCTAATCAGTCTAAAATCCTGAATCGTTTCAGGGTGTTCCGTTTTCGGGATCAAAATAATATTTGTCCCATTCACACCTTTAATCTCATATGGAAACAGAAACATCTTTCAAACCATATTGATCACCATCGGGCCAACTGTATCCCATTGGCTCTGGAAAAAAAGAGGATTTAGTCTGTCTGGCCCCAACGCTTTCAGTGGTACCATGGAGAAAAGAGCTTGCTTCACCTCGGAACAACTAATCTCCTTCCCGAGCCCTACCAGGATCTCATTATTAACTGAAGCGAAGCCTTTGTCAAAAGACAACTCAGCACTATCAGCATTTTTGTCTGTATATAACTCCGCAAAAAAGGCCATACCAGTTTGCATTATTTCCGCAGAGTCATAAATCCATTCACCATTTTCATTCTTTAAAGCTTCCACTCTATTCCTTCTCCTTCTGGCATTCGTCATTGCATGAAAAAACCGTGTATTTCTATCTCCATTGGTGTACCAGTTGCAGCGAGATCGTTGTAGCCACATAAGTTCCTCTTGCATAAGAATTTTCTCAAGCTCATCCGACACTTTCTGTCTATCTATGGTAGTCTGTGCGTCGATAGGAGCTGGAGCCTTGTTAATCCTTTCCATTCTGCGCATAAGGTCTCTTTTTCTCCTATTTAGATCCCCAAAAACAGACTTGTTCCATTCTTTGGCATTCCACTCGCTGTTGCTCAACCATGAAATCTTGACACATTCAGGAAATGCCTCATGTGTAATCCACGGGGCAAAGAACCTGAATGGTTTGTCTTTCCTTGCTTCCCTCTCGTAAGTCTTCATACGTATCAACAAGGGGTGTGATCTGAACCGTAGCTAGGCAAATGAGTTACCGAAGCATTATCAAATGTGGCTAACCAACTGGGACTAGCCAGCACCCTATCTATTCTGCATGAGCTTCCCCCTCTAGACCACGTAAACGTAGGACTGTAGAAACCAACATCAACCACGTTCTGATTTGAGAACCAGTTATAGAACTCCTTATCAGGCATACACAGTTTCTTCGAAGTCGAAATTCTCTCTTCCTGCCTCAATGTTGCATTAAAGTCCCCGCAAATGCACCAGCGTTGCGCCTCTTGGTCTGCAATATTAGACAGGTATGTCCATAGAAGGCGTCATTTGGTTCTCATAGGGCTCCCATTCACAACTGAGAGGTCCCACGCATCAATCGAGCCTTCATTCATCGTCCCATGCAAAATATGGTCTTGTTTAATTTTAACTTTAAAGTCAACCTCCTGAATCCAAAAGCACCATATTCCTCCACTGAAGCCATCACACTCCACCACGGCAACCTCATCAAAACCAGTACGGCGTGCAAGACTTGTAGCTTTCTCACCTTTTTGTCTAGGTTCCAAAATGGCGAGAAACTAGAGGCTGTAACGTTGACGAAGCTCAATGATCAACTACACAAAATGATGCTTTCCTGAACCATGAGAATTCCAAATAAGCATATTAATCATTAATTGATTAATAAAAATATATTTGGTCCACCTAGTACTGGCCGAACCCATCCTCATACATAACCGGCGCTTCAACCATTGCACTACTCCTCTCGTCCTCTTCTGCCTGCCACAATGGGTTCATTCGAATGAGGAAATGGACCTGTTGAGTTGAACCCGGATCCAACAAATCTGGATTTGTCTTCTTGTCTGTTAAAGGAGCTTTTGAGAGTTAGGACTCTCAATAGGGGAGCCAACAACATGGGGCCCAGCGTCAATGTCCATATCCACCTGTCTCGACCCAGAAGGCGTCAGATCTTTGCTACCTGGACTTTCTAGGCCCAATTTCTCCTTAGCACGAGTATAAGTCTCCATTGGACTTATTGTTTGTTTCTTGGGCTCCACCGGGATGATACTTGTAGCTCTAGTTGACCCACCCCCTATTTTCAATTTACTTCCCTTACTTAGCCCCCTTAAATTATCCTTAAATTGACTCATAGTCATTACCTCATTAATGGCACCAAGCGTGGGCTTTTCTTTCGGATCGTCAAATGGAACGATTTCCAGTGCTAAGAATCTCAAGCCTGATTTGTGAGCATGATTGTCGCGATTCTCATTCTGTAAATCCCTCCCTTTCTGTTCCAGGCCAGCGTCTCTCTCCCTCGCCATGGCCGCTGCACCACCATCCAGCCACCGTAATTCAGTTCCTCAATCACCTTGGAGACATCCGTATCACTTCCTTTGTTTGTTTCCCCTTCTTCCCTGTACCTCCTTGCCTCCGAACAATGTTCCTTGTTATGGCCGTACTTGCCACAATTGAAACATATTAGGTGGAGTCCCTCATACTCAACCTTCTTCTCCTTATCATTGATAAGGATGCAAGGTGGGAGCGGTTTTTGCAAGTCCAAATTGACACAGATTCTTGCAAACTTACCCTTAGATCTGCTCATTGTATTCATATCGAACTCCAAGACTTGTCCGATTTGGCTACCCACTACATGAAGAATCCCCTTTTCATAATAATCCATAGGTAACTTAGCAACTCGAACCCACGCTGCTACTGTTGATACTTTTTCATTATCAGGATCAAAATCCTCTTTCCATGGTTGAACGCTTATATAGTGATCAAACATGAGCCAATGCCCCCCAGTTAAGGCAAGATCATAACTCGCATCACTTATGCACTTTACCAGAAAGAACCCCGAACCAATATCAATAACCTCCACTTCACCCCACAGCTTTTTAAGTTTCATCTCCAGAGCGTCGTCGCGAACCATTCTTCCTAACACAGTTACGATTAGAGTTTTACGCCAGCGCTTAGCCAGGGAGGCCCTATATTCTGGTAGAAGAATAATATTCGGCCCTTTCGATGTCTGCTCCACCTGTAGCCGTGAACGCCACTCGTCATTCAACCACCACTCATCCTCCTCCTCCTCGTCCATCACCTTAGGGCCCTCCTCAGCAGAAACAGCCTGCTTGTATGTCTTTCTTTTGGCCTCATCCAGCCACAGTCTCTGGCCCTTCTACTGTAGTCTCGTCCCTAACCATCCAGTCATCATGTCTGGGTACCACTGGCCTACCGTTTACCACAACCCCAGACCCCGTCCGAACCTTTTTCCGACTTCGTTTCAATGCATCTACCTTCTCCATCGTGTTGCACACTGTAGCGTCGTCGTTCGTCATTGTTATCCTCTAACTTGCATAATAACGCGTTTGATTTAGTTCTTGTCCTTGCTGCTGCTTTCTTTTGTGTTCTTTTGCAGTGGAGGACTCTGCTTGGTCTTGATCTTCCCGTATTTCGTCCGTTGTACTCATTCCTGACTCTAATTGAGAGCAAGTAGTATATGTCTCAAAGATCTCCAATCTCAATAACAATTTCTTTTTTACGTGTGACAAGTTATTATGTACATGAGACTATATATATATATATATATAAATACAGTAAGACTTGCACATTTTTTGAAAAATAACAAAAATATTCTAAATGATAAACTACAACTACAATTATTATTTAAAAAGTATAAACCTTTTTCTTCATCTGGGCCAATAGCCATTGATCAAATCCATTAGATGGAGATATGTTGATTAACATTAAGGAATATATTGAAATTCAATCGGTCCTTACTTTTCACCATTGTTATTAAAACATGTTTTTTGGAGACTCCTAGAAAAATTATTCTGTTAACTCTAAAAGCTTTTTTAAACAAAAATAATTATTAATAAACAATAAAATAAAAATAAAATTTAGATTATCCTATTCAAAATTAAATTTCCAAATATTTTGTTCTGAGGTTTACTCAACTTGAAAAAAAAACCCTTCAAAAATTTTTAATGACAAAATAATAAACACATATTTTCAAAAACTTATGACGAGTCTATTAGATATGCTATTGCACTAGTGATTCTGATGATGAATTGGTTTTGCCTTTAAAAAATAATAGAAAAATGTTGGCAAAAATTAAAAAAAATTCACAAAAATAACAAAAAAATTAAAAATTAAAAACAATCAAGAGAAGCCCAGATTCCTCTAGGATAAGATTATCCTGACCAAATACGCTAGTTTAGAACAAAAACAAATATAAATATGAGAAATAATTAAAGACATTCCTGACAAACTGTTACAAGACAAACTCAATAACTGAAGTGAAGATAAGTTGGAAATTGTTCAAGAAATATTTCCTGAAAACTTATTACCCACAAGACGTAAAATGGTCAATCGCTTAAGTCTTTCCATCTCAAGTAGAATGGGCCCTTCAATGAAATTAAAATTCCAAGCCAATGACTCTAACATTGTCAGATTGTACAGAGATGGCAGAATAATTCAATGTGTGTATATATTTATATTAGTGGTCAATTTTTCAAACATTAAGTTATCCCAAAAAAAAAAAAAAAAGTTGATGCAACGAAAAAGAAAGAAAATGATGTTAGTGATGAGGATAAATTTTAACCTTCAATGTGGTAGGCTATGAAATAACTCAAAATGTATGTTGATAAGAAGTTTTGTCCCTTAATTTTTGTGAGGTATTCTTTCATCTTTTGAGGTAGTCCCTTAATTAATTTCATTGGTTGTTGTACAATTTCACGTCTCACAACACACTTTCATTATTGAAAAGAAGCTTGCGTGGATATATTCTTACTTCAATAGTACTTTCCCATTTCGTTTTTAATTCTTTTTAATTTTTGGGTAACACAATTATTCCTTTGTTAAGACCACCATGCATGAAATCTAAATTAGAGAGTAAAGAAAATAGTAAAAATGTTGGTACAAAAATTATTACTGGTGGAGTGGGTATATTAATGGTTAACTATACAACCATTAAGTTGTTGTCAAAAAGAAGTTGATGCAACAAAAGAAAAAGAAAATTAAGTTAGTAATGAGGAGAAAATTGGACTATACAAATAGTCCATTCTCACATCATGAATTATATTTTTATTATCACTATATTGTATAGATCACATAGTAACTCAAAATATACGTTTGTGATGAGAATGATTCTTTGTCACTTTATGAAATGTAATTGGACCACATTTTTATTTTCATTGGTTTAGTCTACTATGAAAGAGTACCCCAAAACAAAGTTGCTAAGAGGAAACATGCACCTCAGAGGTCTTGATCCTTAATTTCATTGGATGTGTTACAATCTTTCTGTCCTCCATTTTGCAAATGCATGGCATGTTTAACTTGGCATTTTTAACTTTATATACAGCTTTTTCTTGACGATCACTAATTATAAAATATAACTAAACTGGAAATCTGTTATTTTTACTGGAGGCAGTATGCTTTATTTTGTCTCCCTCCGTTGCCAAGAAAAATCAAGGCAAGTAAAGACAATGCCAAGCCCAAATTGCAAAAAGGCGTCTCTCATGATAATATTTAAGTTCGGCTAAAAGGCAGGTTGGTTATTAGCATGGAGACTTGAGAAATTTTTTTCATTTTGAAAATGATGCTTTAACTTTAAAAAGTTTAAAATTTAATTTAACAACATAAATTATAGATATTACACAGTTTTTATTTGGCCAGCACGTAAAGATATCACTTTTATATCTTTGATACTTTGTGCATTTATAAAAATACCCATAGTCTTTAAACGGCAATCTCTCCCTCTCTCTATCTCCGTGTGTGCATTTTAAATATTTGCATGGTTTTTTAATATTATTAATAGATGAATATGTAACCATAAATTGAATTTATTGATAGTTAGATTTATAAATTGTAGGGAGGGGCATGCACTAATGATGCTCTACTACAAAAAAAAAAAAAAACAACTTATTACCAACGAAAATAATGGCAGAAAATTATTTCGTTGCTAATTTCCTACAGATTATTGACGAAAATTTCGTCACTAAATTTAGCAATAAAATTTTTTTGTCACTAATATTAGCGATAGAATTTTTGTCTGTTGTTAAATTCCATTGCTAATCCGTTAAAAAATCTGCCAGTAAATATTTAGCCATAGAATTTTTTTAATTCATGTCTCTAATTCCATTGCTAATTTTAATTATAAAATTTTTAGCGATGGAAATTTTTCATCGCTAAATTGTTTGTCACAAAAGTTTTCATCAGTGATTCTATTCTATAGCACTTTCATTACTAATCCGTCACTAATTTTAAATTTTATTATTTTATATTATAATCTTACAACAATTTATATGATAATATAATTATGAATATAATAATTTAAATATATTTTTAATTATAAAATAAATTGATATATTTGTGGAGTTAGTGTTAATAAAAGTATGGCCATCATTCATGTCACCATTAGATACATACTGGGAATAGGAAAATAATTTCTTAGAAAACTTGTTTATTTCATTAAAATCAATTCCTCTTCATTATTAATAATAATTAAAAAATATATAATAAGAATATTAATAACTTTCTTATACAAACTGATATAAGAAAGAAATAATTTTATCATATGCACAATATGTTAAAAGATGTAATATATGATAGAAATTCAAAACTGGAAAATAAATTTATATGAACAGCTCAATTTATGTTATTAATTAAACTAATATTGAATTGAATTTTGATTTTCAATCATTAAACAATGAAATTTAATCATGATATAATTAACACCTATGATATGATTGATTTTGGTCTTCAATGCAAAAACAAATGGTATATACAAAAAACTATAAGAAAATAAATTATATAGTATACATATACAAGTAAGAGAATATTATTTACAATAATCAATTCAATTCATTTAATTTTTTACATAGAATAATATATTAGAATTTATTATAGTATCTATACATAAAACACATATAGATAACATAATATAATGTAATATAATACATATATAATTAAATTACATATCTTATCAATTTTAATTAAAAAAATATTAAAAAAAACATTTTATGAAAAATTATTTATGATTTAAAATTCAAAATTAGTGTTATTGGAAATTAGAGTTATATTAAAAATATTTTTTTAAAATAAACATTATAAAATAAATAGTAAAACAAATATCTAAAAATTATTTTGTCATTAAAATAGTTATGATTAAAATTATCATATAGTTTTTTTTAGTTTTTAATATATATGTGTACATATAATTATTTATGTAAAAGAACATTATATGTATATATATTTAATTTTGTAAAATAAGTAAACAGGTTTATTGCGGCTAAATTGGTAAAACCGTATACATGCACAAGCGAGTTCTTAGGTTCGAGCTATGAAGAAGTCACTTTCAGGAGGAATTTTGCAAAATAAGTAAACAGGTTTATTGCAGCTCAACTGATTCACCCATCCACCTCAAAAGAGTAGGCACATGGCATGGTAAACTTTTCAAATATTAAGTGAATGCAATAAAAGAGAAAGAAAATTAAGTTAGCAATGAGGGGAATTTTTGACACTGCGAGTGGGATATTATAATATCGAGAATCATATTTTCATTATCATTTTATTGTATACATCACAGAGTAACCCAAAATATACGTTTCTGATGAGAATGATTTTTTGTCACTTTATGATAGTGTCATTGGACCATATTTTCATTGTCATTGATTTAGTCTAACATAGAAGAGTCCCTCCAAAAGAAAGTTGGTAAGAGGAAACATGCACCTCAGAGGTCTTGATATCTTAATTTGATTGGATGTATTACGATCTTCCTATCTCCCATTTTGCAAATGCGTGGCATTTTCAACTTCATGTGCAGCTTTTTCTCGACGATCACCAATTAAAAAATGTAACTAAACTGGCAATCTATTATTTTTACTTGAGGCAGTATGCTTTATTTTGTCATCTTTGATACCTTGTTCATAAACTTGAATCAAGTGTTTTTCTTTGTCAGCTTTTATTGTTCATTTTTTAAAGACCGTACTCTTCTTTTTTCCCTCTGTTGTCTCATCTATGTTTTTTTTTTTTAAACTAACTAATCTGTGCTTTAAAATATATATTTTTTGGAAAACAATTTTCATTAATTACCAC